TGCTCGAATGGGGAACTGGCGGGTAACATAACGGCCTTGCCCTTGTTCCTGGCCGAAGGGACCGCGCTCCGCCCTCTTAGAGAGGTAGGAGTGGTTTTCGTCCCTGGTTGGGAAGTCTGGGCCTCGGCCGCAGGGAACGAGAGGCGACTGTGCACGCTCGGTTCCTTGCCGCCGAGTCGGTCGAGGACGCTTCGGCGAACAGTCTCAGGTTGTTCTCGGTGAGCAGATTCGGGCCGAGAAGCTGAGCTGCTGCTCCTATGCGTTCCTGGTCGGGAGGTTGAGGATCCTTTGAAGAATTGAGGGTTCTTTCTCCTCTCTCTTTCAGTTTTCCAGGTATCCTCTTCCCACTCTTCCAGTTCCCGGAAGAAGGAAGCTTCCCACCATCATGGTCTAGCTTCCTCCGCTGACGCCGGGTATGCGGGGGAGTTCGATCACGATGTGGTGGCATATTTTGTGCCCTCATTGCCTCCATGAGCACTGCCAACGCTCTCGCCACCTCCTCCGAGCTGGGCCCCGTCAAAGGGGTCCTCGGCTGAGTATGGGAATGAGAGCGGACGGTCGATGGTTGGCTTTGGGGCACTGAGTGCGTCCTATGATCGGATTGACCCCCGCTAGACCGAGAATGACTCGATCTATGATGAGAATTATGAATTACGGAGAAAGGGAATCTTCCCTGTATGATCCTCGCTCCGAGCTGGCACCCTTGGGAGAGTTCCGGTCCGGTGAGGGTGATGGTGTAGGGGTTTTAGCTTTTCGCCTGCTCCTTGACGGAGGCCCTTACTCTTGCGGTTCTTAGCCATTGCTACTAAGATAATTGCAAGATGATCTTGGTTAGAAATTTGGCTTAAAGATTTTTGAAAGTCTTCCCCACAGACGGCGCCAAATTGTTTCGGATGAAAACAATGGGACCTTGTTGAAGGTCCGATGAGGTGAAGAAGACTGGATTCGGTCCAAGTGATGTTGGGCCGAAGGTTTCCTGCACAGTAAACACACGTAAACTAGCCTCGGGTGTTGCCGAGGAAGGCCCCTCCGATGCTAAAGTCAGTAAAGTGTGTGTAGAGAGAGAACACTATGCAAGAGAATTAATTGCTTGAGGCTTTGTGTGCATGTCTCAATATGTTTTTTGTGAATACGTGAGTGAATTGCCAAATGTAATATTGATGGCTTTTATACCTTTGATATATGGAGGATTGGGCTGGGCCCAATTGACTTGCCTTGAGGACCGATCTTTGACTTTAGCACATTTGGAGAGTTGAACCTTGACCTTGGGCTTTTAATTGGATCATTCAGTGACTAGGCCCAATTAGACTAAATTGGACCCAAACA